TGAGACCACCCTGGCGCCTGCTTCCTAAGCTTGAATTTAAACCCTCTTTTTGTGTATCTCTTGCTTGTCAATTGTTCGCAAATTATGCGAACATTTGGCTGCCTTTCACGTAGTTTGGGCATAAAATTTCAGTCAATTTAATTTCCAGCAATTGCTTTACATACAGAAGTAAGTATTTATGTGGAGGCACGTGCCAGAACGTCCGCCTGTCTGTCTATTCCACACTCCCGGTTGTCACTCAGCCAGACGGGTGGGGTGTGGGAGTTGGCTCTTCGATTCGGCACCCAAGAACGACCTCTGACCCGACCGCATTTGCTGTTGTTGTTTGTCAATTTTCAGTCATGTTTTTTAGTGGGGAAATTAAAGCAAACATGGGCGAGTCATGTCGGGAATTGAAAAGAGAAGGAAATTGATATTTTCACAGCAACCAATACACTGGAAGAAATAAAGAATCCCAGGATGTCTGTTGTCGGTTGGAGGAGTACCCCCTATTTTCAAAAATTTTTGTTTGATGTTATTATTTAAAGAAATTTATAAAGTCTCTGCTTCTTGTTCTCGAACCGGCTTGGTTTCGCTACTCACTTCTGATTCGAATGAGTTCCCAGACTACTGTCTTCGCAATCATGCTGCCGGAAGTTAGTTAGCACATACGAGTTTATAAAATTACACATTGTTGACAGTGCGAGCCAAGACGGAAGAAGAAGTCCTCGGACGCGTGACTCGACTGGGAACTTGGCGGCAACCTTGTTCCCGGCTAATATGCAAAAGCCGGCCAAGACCAATTCGGCCACGTACGGCCCTAAGTCTACTATGTTTGCATGGTATAAGGCTTATACGTATGTAATATATTTGCGCCATGATCGCGCATGAATAAATCCAAGCCCGGCTCGGCTGCAAACGCCTCACCTGCAAGTTAGCAACTTGAAAGGGTCCGGTCTGGGGAAAATAAATTGTTGTTGAAATGGGAAATGCTACTACTGTTTGTATTGTTAATGAAGTCGCTTGTGGCCCTTCAACTGCATGTGCCTCTGTTTGTTTTGTTTCGAAACAAGTTGGGAATTATTTGCTCGAAAGCCGCTGCATTTTGCGTTAAATCCACTCCGCAATGTCTTTAATTTTGCCGGGAGCTCCTATCTGCATTTCAGTATTTCAGTTGCTGGAACAAATGTGGAACCGTTTTTATGCATTTTTACATTCGCTGCCGACTGACCACGTTCTTTATACTTTTCATTCGTGTGGCATGATGTAAATATCAATTGCCACGGAATGTGATTTTTTTGCCAAAAAAGTGACTTACCTTTTTGTCCTTTTAATGTCAGATATTAAAAAGCGGTGGTTTAATAAATTTAATAACATTTAATAATAGTAAGATAAGGCGAAATATTTTCTTTGAATTTGGTATACAATAAATTATAATTTATTATTAAATTATTTATTTTATTTTATATTTATTTTTAAGTTTTTTTTTGACTATACGATTGTTCTTTTTCTTCCTTTATTTAAATATTATTGTAAAAGACAATTTTGTTGCATACTTTGTGGTTCTTCAGAACCAGCCAGCAAAACATTCCATTAGGAAACCATACTTGAAATGTGTTTAACTTTTATTATTTGCCGATTTTGAGTTATTTAGTTTTTTGGATATAATTTAGTAATACCTCTAAATATATTTTAGTAATACCTCCAAATTATATCCAAAAACAAAATGAATCAAAATTGGGTAATTATGTTATATCACGAGTTTACCCTACACAAGTACCTGGTATAAACTTCGGGAAAGGAATTGACATAAAGAACAAAGAGAAAGCTAAACAATTTTTTTCTAGAACGTAAAAATTGTTTTGAAATTTGCACGTATTAGTGACATAAAATAAATTGTAGTAAAAATTCTTAAGCTCATCGAAAAAAACTTGTACTTCGCGCTTTCATCAAAACACTTGGTTCACCTTGACACCATTTGGATTTTTATTTGAGCTTCAGTCTCGTCTCTATTCTCCCGCCTTCTAAACAGCTTTCGCTAATTGAAACAAATGAAATAATGAAGGCAATAAAACAACCAACTTTGACTCAGATTGTTCATAAACCAACATAGAAAAGTTTCCCAGACTTCGGATTCAACAATTCATTTCCGCTCCGGTGACTGCCACTGCAGACCGAAATCCAGAGCCAAACTTGACTATTTCCTTCGGGGCACCGTACCATGGGTCCTCGGAGCTGGTCCCGGTCCTTCGTCCTGCCAACCGCCCGCCTGTCTGCGGATTGTTGTGAAGTGTGCCAGGAGCCATAAAGCGCACAACGGGAGCTTTCCACTGCGATTCCCATATTTTTATTTTTTCTTTTTCATTGCTGTCTTCGCCTTTTTTTAGCATAATTAAAAGCAATTTAGTGTGCCGCCACCACTTCACGACGAGCACATGGGGCCACTTGTTGTCGTTGACGGAGGCAAGATGGGTCTAAGTTCTGCCAGTTTGTCCCAGAATTACATAATTAAATTAGTCATACAAGTTTGTGTCTAAACAGCAGGGTCCCCATTAGTTAGCGAGGTATCTCTCAGGTCCAAGGCTTAATCTTGAAACAGAATATTCCATTATTGTATTAGGCTAACAAATGCAAGGTTTGCAGGTGAGAAATTTCCATGAAAATACTTTTAAAGACAATAAGTAAAAAACCAGAAGCAAATATTATTCATTTAAGTGAGCAATTTATTCAATTTTGCCGACACAGAGATGAATCCAGCATAGTGCCATAAATTTGGACACTTTGTGACAATTTTATGCATTTCATTTAAATTTCATTGGCAAGACATCCGGATGGGATTTCCCAGCACCGTGCATGTTGTGCCTTGGATTTTCATTAAATGTCCTATCAATTGTTATCCAGCTCCAGCAATTAAATATGCAGCCGAAAAGGCTGGGGAAATTACATTTAAAAAATTTGCAAGTGTGCAGATGACATTTCAATGGTGCAGGGCCGGGGTCTCTGGAGGTTAACCGATTGAATTTGGCTTAGTACAGCAAGAGGAGGTTCCACAAATGGGGCTTGTAATTGTAGGACCTAATGCTTGAAATATTTGCTCCAACGTCGCAGCATCCTGTTCGGCATCCTGTGGGCCCCCGGCAATAGTGCGTGCCAGTCCCTCAGATGAATTAAAAAATCCAGAGCGCCACAAACGCCAGACTATTAAAAATGAATACTCCGATAGTGTGGGCCAACCAGACAAGGGGCGACAGTTTAACCATTGTCTAAGAACTGCAGGCAAAAATGTCAGGAAACAGCAGAAAGCGGCAGAAAGCATGGCAATGGCAACAGAATGCCGCCCCGAGTGTTTACACCAATTCATTGGACCGCCCTCGCCAGGACAATAGAGTCAGCAAAGGAAAAGCAAGAAATAAAATAAAAACAGGGCCAGGACTGTGCTTGAAGCCTGGATAAATGGTTTTTGCCTGAAATATTTTTAAAGCTGATCTGGGGAGCCCTGCACCACGGGCTGCCAACGGGAGGGCTCCTTGTGGCACGAAGGATGTGACAGTGTGGCCGACAGGCTACATTTCGACAGGCAGCAGAGTCAACCTGTGGTCATGTTTCCGCCCCCATCAGTGGAAACTCCCAATTGTGGCCACATTTATTTACCTTCTTCTAGCCGATGGGATTTGGCCACACTGTGTAAATATGTGAATCTCGTAAAGTTTATCTTCTGCCGGGGCCCGTCCCACCTGCCATAGCGGCGCGGGAGCCGCCGGCAGGTGAGGCAATTTCACAGCAGTTGATTGCAGCAGCTATCCGGCCGGCTGAATCGCCTTTGATGTCTCACTCGGGGCATGCAAATAGAGCGGCCAGTACGGAGCACTGATCCTGAAACTTGAACAACTTGCTGCCTGATTTCATAAGCCGCGAGACATATCCGGTATAATATGATGCGATTAATCAAAATGCAAGTGTCTCCACTCAAAAGACTTTAATGTTGAAGCTTCTGTTTAATCTTAAAGAGAAATTTAATAAAAAAAAGTGTTTTTAAACACGAGTTTCTTGTCTAAAATAAAAATATTTTGCACTCTGAAGAGATTTTCTTTTTTGTATTTTACTGTTCTGTAAAAGATAGACAGAATACACCCAAAAATAAAAAATCACCTTTATGAAATGGTTAGTAGCCAAAGCTTTAGTTACGCGCCCTGCGACAAACTTTGTTCACTTTGCTGTGGGGGAGGAGAAAATAAAAAGGATTTCGACCGGCAAACTGATAAATTTTCAAATTTGCATGCTAATGAATACCGTGGATCCGGCAAACTTTCTAGCTTATGCGTGTGCGAGTTCCGCAGAACTCGACACGGCCGGAATATTTTACAGTGTTTAGATTTATGGCAGACCATACGGGGAAAAGGACGTGAGTCCCAGTGGAGGGCCAAGCCCCATGGCCACCGCTGTACAATTTTACAATAGCCATGTCAGAATGGAATTCAAGCCACCCACTCAGTTCAAACATCAGTTTGGTTTGTCGAAACCACGCGATGCAATAACTACAAGGCCCAATATGAAAAGATAATTAAAACTATCAACACATTTTCCCTATTCAGAACTGAAATTGCAGGTAGCTGAAGCTGTTTTCCATTCATTATAAAAGTATTACAGCTGCGGTCAACACTATTTGTTTTTTATTGCAAAACGCAACGTATTACGCAAGGCAGCGCATGGCTGTTTAAAATGCAAGAAAATTGAAATAAGCTGTTTCGCTTTTTAGAAACCATTTCCTAGCTTTCGCAATATTAAACAGACTATTTGTCTTTTTTCTGCCAGTGCCTCCCTTTTTAAATTTTTATTTTCATTCCACAAATGTTCCTACCTGCAGTCGCCACAAGCTATGCAATTTGCAGCCTAATAAATATGTATTTTGAACCAGACTAGATATGCACGACGACAGTCCCATGGCTTATGTAAATGAATTAATTAGCGCCAGTCGGACGTATTTCTTTCAAAGCACTTATGATTAAAGAAATTTTAGCGACTCGATTAGTTGTTCTTGAAGCAGGCCGCTGCACTGTCACGTTCGATATGCTTGCCGAAATGCTTACCCCGGTGGATCCCGTACGGCTGGCCATTTACGCCAGCCCCTGGCCCACCTTGCTTATAATGTCCTCGTACCTGGTATTCGTTTTCAAGTTGGGTCCCAAGCTAATGGAGGGACGCAAGCCCTTCGAACTTCGCACTTTCATCAAATTCTACAACATCGGTCAGGTTTTATACAACGCGACGATAATTTATTACGTAAGTAGTTCTTGTTAATATAACATCGGAAAATAACACTGTTTTAAAACACATTTTAGGGTGCCCATTTTTTGTTCTACTTGGACACTTACGACTTAAAATGCATAAAGCCCTTGCCCCTGGATCACAGGCACAAGGACTATGAGCGTTGGATGACCAACTTGTATGCAATTAACAAAATGATCGACCTGAGCGAAACGGTAGTGTTTGTGCTACGAAAGAAGTACAAACAGATATCCTTTCTTCATGTCTTTCACCATGTCATCATGGCCGGGATGTGCTACTTCATAATTACATTTAACGGACATGGCGGCATCCTCTTTCCATTTTGCCTGATAAACGCAGTGGTCCATGGCTTTATGTACACCTACTACTATCTGTCCTCCTTGAACGAGGCGCTTCAGAAAAGTATCTGGTGGAAGAAGTACATCACTATCATCCAGCTGCTTCAGTTTATGATCATCATGGTGATTTTTCTCAGGATGATGATGGACCCCAACTGCTCGACCCCACCTTTCACAAACTATCTAGTCGGGATCATAATACCTTCATTTACCATTTTGTTCATAAACTTCTTTTATAAGTCCTACATACTGCCAGGCAAAAAGCATGCCAAGCAGCCCCAGAATACCGAAAACAAAAATTAAAGAAAAAGAACTATACCCTATAGCCCTTTTCTTCCAAAAAATAATTAGTTGGTAAGGTGTATCATAAAAAATAAATATTAAGCAAAACACTTTTTCTTTACATTCCATTTTATACCCCTGCGAGGGTATTGTATTTTTCCCAATTTAGTGAATCAAGATCACTTCACATTAACGAAAATTTCTCCCAAACTGATATACCTTTGGCAAAAATGAGCTAATAAGAGCAATAAAATTCGTTTGATATATGACTCATTTAGATTGCATACAGAAGGTATGTAATTGTTTAGGTCTTATGCTATATATAGTGTTTTCAGGCGCACGCTACGTCGCTAAGGTTCGCCACCATGTGCACTGCCGTGCACAGTGAATGATATTTAAATTTCCAAGGGCTCATTAACTATGTTAATGTGTCACAATCCTGAAATATTATTATAAGCGAGTTCTTAAGTTTCAATTCCATTGAATATATCCCATTGCCACGAGTTTTCTTTGAATAAAAAGCTGCTTGTGGTAAATTGAATTTGTAGTAAATTGTGAAAATTGAATATTATTGAACATACGACATTTTTGTTTTTTAAATATTGTATTCGTGTGAATTAATGTAAAATAGAGAAATATCTCCGACCCCATAACGTACATATATATAAATCTATACATATATTCTTCTTTGCGAAAACCTATGGCTTAAACCTATGGCTCCTAAGACTGCATCGTTCGGAGTAAACAATATCTGGATTGCCTATTTGTATATGGAAAGTCTCCCCAATTCAATTGAATTTCAATTGATCTTTGTTGTGGTTTTCGTTGCCCATTTAGAAAACAGAAACCGCACATTGTATTTAAAGAACGACCAGCTGTTGGTTGGTCAGTGCTTGTCTGGAAAGGTCATTCATTGAGTTATGGTTCTCAATAGAACTAGCTCTCTGGCATATATTAATTATCATTTCGCAGAAGTATAAGAGCAGCCGGAGTTGGAGTGGCATCTTCGCCCTTTCTGAAGGTCTCTGAAATTGAAATTCACTGAAGCCATTGAAATTCCGTATATTCAAATGCGACTGCCGTGCCGATTTTTGGAGAAAATTCACGCGAGGGTGAGCTCCGCAGTAAAAGTGAATAATTTTCCCATCGCCGACAAAAGAATGGCATGTCACATGGGTTGCCCCGTCAGACGGCGGAATCTGAGCCAAAACACCAGCCCAGAAGCGAATGAAAGTGTCAGCGAAGTGCCAACTGAACCGGGCTAACAGGCAACATATACAATACATATATGTAAGTATGCTCTTGAATAGGGACAGGGTTGAGGGAGATTGTGCGCTGGAAGAGTGTGTGCGCTGGATTATCCCAAAAGTCATGGCTTAGACAAATGTTTTATGCTCCACTTGGCTGCATTAGCCGCGCGTATTATGCTCAAGTGCCGCTGGCGCACGCTGCGTATGAGTTATTTATTATTTACCCAAAGTTAATACAATTTATGACTAAGCTAAACTTTTTGCCTCATAATATTTTTTGCCCTAAATGCAATCCAGGACATGAAGAGTTTAAATTTTAAAGCATTGCATTACCTTTTTTCAAGCATTTTAGAGATTAAATGTAAGAGGAATATAAAATGTAATAAAAATGTTGATAACTGATAGCTAGAAAATAGCTCCTGTTAAATTTTATCCTAAAATTTTAGTGCTGCGATTCAAATGTGCTTTTCTGCAACTTTGGCAAAACTAAAATTTGACGCAACCACATTTCCGCTTCTTTCCACTGCCACCATGTAATTCAATTGCATTGACGACGTCTGATGCGATGAGAGCATAGAATTTGATGTCCCACCACGTGCGAGGCAGTCGATAGACGCTTTATAAGTTTTCATGGGTCTTCCCCGAAGTTGCCATTCAAAGTGAATCAAATGAGGGGGACCTACATTCACATTACTGCGAACAGGGCTGCATGGTAAGGCGCGCGTCTGACGATGCATCCATCAATTGCCACTGCTCATAGGCCAAGGACGTCTCTAACAGCAGTCAGCTGCCTGCCACGCCCACTGCAACCCCGCTGCAGCCCCCCTCGTCCAATCCCCCAACCCTTTTCGCCAGCCTTGTGCACTCATTTACTCAGTCAACTGTTCAGGCATTCACTTTGCCGGAGGGCTGGGGCGTATTTCTTTTGGACTGGGCAGGGGCGTGAAGGGAGCTTCCACCCCAAGTTCCACTTCTCGACGCATTCATTCAAACAGGGTTTGTATTTGAATTTCACTCATTGCGCATTCAGGCATTTTATGACCCTCTCCACCAGCCACCGGCCAACTTTTAACCAAAGCCAAGGCAACCCGTAAGCGTTTTTTGCCCGAAATAAGGTGTACCATTTTAACGAAAAATAATAATTTTACAATAACAATAGAGTTTACTTTAAAGCACAAACGTAATATATTTTATTGCCTTATTTTATCTTAAATCTTAATATGACTACTGGAAGTCATATGGTGGATCTATGGTAGATCGCATATATGTCATTCTGAAAATAGGTTCTGTGTAACAGCGCCTTTTTCCCAAAATATTTTGCTACACCAAACTTTTTGTAAATTGGGGCTGTCGTAACATTCTAGCAATATTTTTATATGTATGACGATTTATCAAATAAGTACATTTATAAATTCGCTACATATTTTTTTAAGTGATTGGCCTTTGCTTCTGGCTGTTAACCTTGACGGGCAGCATGCGTTTCGTGGCCTAAATAACCACACGTTTCTATTGGCCCCATTGCGGCGACCTGAGTGCAAAGAGTTGGCGGCAGGAGTTTCGAAACTAGAACGGTCACGCCGGGCTTTGATGTCCTTTGTCACTTCCTTTGTATTGTCAACATTTCTATTGCAGCATCTGGCGTGGCGACTGCAACGGCAACTGCAGACAAGTTGACTGCAAATACTATGGCTGGCTGCCTTCTGTTCTCATTCGGTGATGAATAGCAAGACAGTCCTTTGTTGGGCGTGACGTGACGAAAATTGTTGTCCCAACTGACGGCAAAATTATGGAGCGACATAGCTGTCACGGAATAAAAGAGTTTCTGCCAAGTGACACCCACTCACTACTCACTCCACTCCCGCAGAGTTCGAAGGAGTCCTGGCGACAAGCAGCTTAATAACAAGTCTTGCCCGCTAATTGATACATAATCCCATAAATATGAATTCCGGGAAAGCCTGGAAGACTCTTATTATTAACTTTGTCCACATCCAGCTGCTCTCGTGCCGGGCGAAGCGTAAAACTTTTCTAATAAATATTCTCCCAGTTCCAGAGGCCTAATCCGTTTATCCTCACTCGATAAAAGGCTTTATTAAATTGACAATACAAAATTGCTTTATTGGATTCGGGCCGGATGGCAATTTACTTTACTTTGATGTAAATGGATGGATACTTTGTCAACTCAAACAGAATAGTCCAAGTGCTGGCACTGAAGATGAAATCAAAAGACGAGGCAGATTCATCTCCCGAACCAATTTAAAAATTTATGCACTTAACTATGCAGGCCGGAATTAATGTAGATAGGTAACTGAAGCCTGCAACATCACTAAATATTTTAAAGTATAACTCTTTCCCATTGGATCTGGCAATTTAATATCTATGAAATATGAAATACACGGCTCACATCTTTCAGGGAAATCGATTTTGCTCACGCCCCATCCGTATACGTGATGCGGTACATGATCAATATTCAATCGACACAGTCAGAAAAAAAGCACATAAATTACCTACAATCGCCATAAAGCTTTCATTCCAACTCCAACTACGGCAGGCTCGACACGAATATACATATAGGCATATACGGGGATGTATGGGGATTTGATGACTCTCTGCGCCACATTTATCTTAACCATGACCCATACACACTTCGGTCCCAGCAAACAAACATAAAGTGCTCGAACGGCAGGATAAGAAATTGTTATGGTCAGCGGGAGTTCTAGATCATAAAAGTCTAAAAGGATATATATCAATTGAGGATTTACTTTTTATATGCGAAAATTGTGCAAGGTATTTGCAAAACATTCCAAAAAAGCTTTCTTGAAGGGTTCTTTGAAACAATTCAATTATTTTAATTTGGCAAACCGCCAAGTAATAATATATTTTTGATATAAAACAAGGATAAAAAGATTTCTGTCGCTTTCTGTTCAAGCCTTGAAAATTAGAGGTATGGCAAACAGAAACTCGAATTTTTCGGATAGAACAATCGGGTAAGTGGTAATTTTGCCTAATGAAACAACTGTTATGAGCAATGCAGGAATCATAGATAGGTTTCTGGGCGCTGGTGCATTCAACATATTTCTTCCCTGCATTGCTCATCCGCCATGTGGACCCCGTTCTAATGCACTGCCGTACTCGTTTGTGGCTGCCACTCCAGCCAGCGTCATTAATGTGAAAAATTTAAGTTTTCAAAGTTGTGTGCAGCCCCCTTCCCGGAAGGCCGCGCCGTGGGCTGTTGGCACTGCCATTAGCAGAGTTTTACTCGCAGACGCGTTAATTCACTCACATCACGCTGGCTGTTTGCATAAATCAAGGCAGCCAGCTCGTGTGCCCGGGTCGGAGTGTCTGCGCCGGCTTTGGACTTATCAACTTTACGGCTCCTGCTTAAAGCCGCAGAAATCAGCATAGCCGTTACCACGTGCCACATGTAGCATCCGTTACAGGGCCCAACAGGGAGGGCTCTCACCTGGCCAACGTATGCTGGCATTTATTACACAGCTTGCCGACTCGGATCGGCTGCGATTTACAGCTTCTTTCCGGAACGGTTTAAGCCTTTTAGCCGCCCTTCTCATTTGTTAAATTATAATGAGAGTTATGCCGCTGAATCGATAGAACCAAGCACCTGGAACATCTCCTGTTTGCGGGCGCCGCTTAAACTCAATTGGAGCCGGAGCGAAATGTGGGTCTTGTAGTCGAGGAATAGCAAGCCCCCGGGACGCTGCGACACTTTTTGCGGCCAAAGTTTGCCAAAGTTCTGTGGCCAGAACTTGAACTACTGGTAGCCGCGAACGC